ATCGATGCCATCTTTGAAGACCTTGCTAAGAATGTTGGGAAGTTTGCCCACGCTGCCTCTAGTCAAGCTAATGAGAGTCTAAATGCTGCGATTGCTCGAAAGGCGCCAAAGAACATTTGTTACAGTTTGAGTGAGTCGATGGATTATCGAGTGGCTGCTGCTATTGCCGAGAAAAATGAGGGAGAGACCTACTTGATTCAAATTTTCGAGAGACTCAACTTGACTGTTGATGACATTCTACGACAGCACGTTGAGTCAGTGGAGGCAAAAGCATCGAGAACTGCTGAGAAAGCTAGCACAACTGAGTACAAATCAAATCGAATTGAGTTAACGAAAAAACGTCGAGCATTACGCTATCGCAAGGAGCAATCCGAAGGTGTAACGTATCAATCCCAAATGGGATTGATCAGCACCCCGGTTATCAACGAGACATTGATGGCAAACGATGATGCAATGGTAGATTTGGGGAATGAAGAGTATGAAGTAGTTTTTTTCGATTTAGAAACATCTGGACTGGATGCAAATTGCAATATCCTTCAAATTGCAGCCGGAACTGGATCTGCATCGTTCAATATCTACATCAAGCCTTCCAAACCGATTGATCCCCATGCAACACAAGCTCATGGTCTAACCAGTGTCTCAGGAGATCTATATTTACATGGGATTCGTGTAGAGACAGTAAGTCTGCGTAGTGCTCTGACATCGTTCCTTGCTTATCTCCAGAAAATAGAGAAGAAATGCATATTAGTAGCACATAATCTTCGTTTTGATGGACCCCGTCTCCTGAAAGCAATTGAAAGGTTGTCTCTACTGAGTGAATTCCAGGCAGTTGTCACTGGTTTCGCTTGCTCTTTAGAGAGCTATAAAAGGAAAATGAATATAAAAAATTCAAATGGCGGTGCATTGAAATTGTCCACTCTAGCTCGTGCACATGTGAAACATGTAGATGAAGGGAATACTCATAATGCTTCTTATGATGTGTACCTGTTAAGGCATTTCGCATGCAACGTATTTACCCTAGAAGACATTTTGTCTCAGCTCATCACGGTTCCTGAAGCGCTAGAGAGGTATCATGCTACCAGAAGAGTGAAAGAGACTGTCAATACCTTGTCAGCATTGTCTGAACTGATCCCAATTGCTTTGAGAAAAAAGATGGCTGAAGCTGGAATCGGTTTCGATAATTTATCTGATGCTTACGTGAAAGATGGAAGGGACGGGGTCGTTAAATTGCTCAAAAATAAGATTGAATATAAACCTCGTACATTCAAACTCGAAGATAAGTATCAGGACATTGTAAAGTACTTCGAGAAGTCAAACAAATAATCACAGATCATTTGTTTTCGTTTGTTTTTTTCTTTGTTGCCAGCGTAATGAGAAATTTAATGAGTTTATATATTGTTCGTCCATATGTACTAGTTTATTTGGAGTTTTCCACGAATACAGTAAATAAAAAAAAATGGAAAAATCATCAAATGAATGTTTTATAGCGTGAATAACCTACAAGATTATTTTCAAGAGTTTGACTGTCCCGCTCACGCGATGGCCACCGCCCCCCACCGCCGCGCGCACTCTAACCTTC